GTAGAGAAAGCGGGTTTCTGCTCCTTTAAAGGGCGCTGTGCAGCGCTCCCGAAGGGAGGCGGATCTCCCTCCTTCATCCCTTCCCTCCNCGGGGGATGCACCGTGGCCGCGTTGTGCCGAGAGCTGCACACCACCATGGCTCTTGGCCAGGTGTCTCAGGGCACAGGCGGGCGCTGAGCTGGCCGACCCGAGCGCTGTTGCCGCCCGGGTCTGTCCCTCACTGAGGGGAAAGCAGACCTGTCGGCTTCCTGTCTTCCTTCCATCGCTGCTCCGCATCGTCAGAGCCGCCGCCGTCCCCGCGCTGAAAGTGAAGGTGTGGGAAGAGGGAGCCAGAGGCCAGGGCAGCGCAGCCCCCAGGTGCCCCTCTCCCGGTGCCCTCCCGTTAGCCCGGAACTCCCTCCCGCAGCCGGAGCATTGCTCCCGAGCCGGGCTCAGGGAGGCAGAACAGGCTGCATTGAGGATGTGCCCTCCGCTCTCATTGGGGAGCGGAGGTGAGAAACGGGCTCTAACTTCGCTGGAGTTGTGGGTGGACGACAGTCTCTACTTCCGTAAGGTCCCCTCCTGCCCCTACCCGGCCCCCACCGAACCGCGCAGCCAGTCCCCCTTTCGGCTTATCGGCGACCCTGTCATTTATTCGTGAACAAAATCAGCATTCTTTGGCTGAGCATCCATCGCTAAAGTAGCCAGGGCGCTGACACTCTGGAAAGCAAGAGGCATTCCTGCCGACGGAGTGGAGGCATGATATCAAGAGCCGTGCGTGCACTGAGAAGGAATGAATACACTGTAATAGAAACCTCGCTTCACATTCTCCTTAGAAACTTTTGGGCTAGTACAGCAGGAAAAACATAAAGTATCATCATTTTCCTCCCAAAATCTTGGTCAGCTTCCCCAACCCCAAAGGAACCTGAGGGGACCAAAGGCTGATCTGTAGATCACGTCAAAAGTATTTGTTTTTGCTGCTTAAAACTTGCTAAGAAAGTGCATTGCTGTGATACTCAAACGTGCCTGAACAATAAAGTCTATTGCACACTCACTTCATTAATTAGAATACAAGTCTCTCTACTAGCTAAAAATTAATTACCATCTTCAAATGTCTTTAATCATTGGCGCAGCAGAAACTCGGTTGTAAATTTGGACTGAGATAATAACAAACAGAGAAGGACCTACGGGTTTTTTTTTATAGCTGGTGGGAGTGAAATGCCAGTGGGCCGCAATGTGTTTTAAATGATAATATCAACATTCATTTGAATACTTTGGCAAGCGTTTTAGAAGGGAGGACTGTGTTACTGCTATGTCAGCAAAGCTGCAATACTTGATTCTAGAGGTCTGGAGATGCTGGTCAGGTGTTGCAGTAAGCTGTGGCTCTCCTCACACCAGATTGCAACAGCAGGAGGACTGTGGTGGCATGTGAATCTGAAACGTTTGCAAGGATTTGCAGGAAAATGTCCGAGAAACATTTGGGGGGACCATATGTTTTACATACATTAAATTTATAGCAGCTGTTGTTGTGAGAGGTCAAAATAGATTACGTGATATGAAAACCTCACTATCTGTTCTTAGAGGCACAGCTATGACCTGAAAATAGAAGCCCATTCCTTTTTAAAATAATATGATAAAACTATACATCCCAGTAGGTGGCAGCTAGCTGGAGCTGGGTTAACTTTTATAATGATAACAGCACATAAAAATAAGATCTGATGGAAAAAGCTCCTGATATAGTAAGGTAATCAGAAACACATATCTCCCCTTTCCAAATGAAACATTACGCACATAATGCACACCATTTATACTTGACACACAGCTAAAATTGTAGTAGGTATTTATTACCCAGAAAAGATGTAAGGCCTCAGACTATCTCTTCTTCTTTCCCTGTCTATTGCTGGATTACTATTTTCCATATCAGCTACACTTGAACAGAGTCCTGTGTATTAAAGATGTCCTTGTGTATCAGAGATGTGTTACCGGCATGTCTACAATAGATGACCAAACAAAACAAAACATATATCCAAGGAATTGTAGATTTCTCAGCTAGTGATCACTGAAGTGTAGAGGGCAGTTTCATACAGACTCTAATATGAAAAGAGCTGTGTAACAGTGGTGACAAGATCCTAAAACAGAAGACCAGCTTATCTAGCATGACATTTTATTAGGGATTTCCAGACTTTGAATTGTACATCTCACAGGGAAAGAAATATGAAAGGCACTAAGAATATTTACCTGTTTTCCTGTTGAAATCACTCTGGAGGATGCACAAAAGTATATATTTCTTTTTCATGAAGAAGAAGTGGAGTTAAAGTCCAAATAACAGAAAAGGAACTTAGGGTGAGGAAGACTGAGGCTTTAGTCGATTATATAGTCTATAAATGATCTTCAGTTACCAAATATTTAGTGAGTTCTAGACATCTGATATCTTGTAGGATTTGCTTTTTTTTACAGAAGGGACTCCTATTCTTGAGAAAATATTTCTGGGTTAACTACGACTGTTCTTCGAGGTGGGAGCTAGGGTTTGAAAGAAGGGGGGAGGAATGTTAACACAGAGTATTAGGTGATGTCTGATAGTAGATAAGGAGGACATCGGTACTTCATCTGAACCCATAAAATGCCATAAAATAGCTGGCTAGCTAACATAATAGAGGGTATAATATATATCTTTGAAGAAGCCGATAGCAGATTTCAATTTCCTTTCCTCGCTGTGAAATGACTGGAAAGGGTGAAACCCCCCAGGCGTTTTGACACCTGAAGCGGGGGTTGCGGCCGGGGCGCTGTCCGCGGTGCTGAAGGGGCCGCCGGGGCCGCTCCGGGCGCTGTCCGCGGTGCTGAGGCCGCTGCCGGCGGCGGGGGCTGCCGCAGGGGGAAGGAAACCCGGTGTGAGCCTCAGGCGTCAGACCAGGGGCTGCAGCGTGGGCTGCTGAGTGTTTAATAGTAACAGGAATTAACCACAGGTTGTTTTACGATTCCAGTTCTAAACGCCTCAGTGAGTTAGGTGCTCTGTTGGGCTGAGATTACAGGGAGCTGTATTTTTTTGTTGTTGTTTTTTAAAGAGACCTTAGAAAATCAAACTGATAACAGGAGTCACTTTACCCAAAGTTTATGTTTTGTTTAATGTGTTAAACGTGAATATTATATTTTCAAAACTTCTCACCAAAACTAAATTAAATAAATAAAAAAAAAATCGGTTTGGCTGCAAGGTGCATCTGAGCATTCACAATTAAAAATGTATCTAAATAATACCTTTTATTTCAGCAACACCAGGAAGGACGGCAATGCACTTTCACAGTATTCACGTGGGTTGCTTTTATTTCTCCTTGGACTAAGAAAAAATATAAACGAGTAGAAGGGAATTAATGAAATAGTAAATAGAAGAAAAAGCATCTCTCTGTATTTTTTACTGGAAGATATTCTGAGTGTGAACTGAAGGAGTCGCTAGATATCCTTGCTTTTAACACGAGGTGCTCTTTTTAAAGTGCTCCAATAGTCAAATCGTCTGATTGAATTCCCTGCTAGACTGCAGAACTAGCCATTCATGATACTTATTTTTGACACTGCAGTTATGCCTCCATCTTAAGGAAAAAAAAAATCAATGATGTTTAATAATCCTCTCGCAGAATGTACATTTCTTTTCATCAGCATTTTACAGCGTTTTAAGTAAAAGTGTGCAGAGGAAATCAGTAAGGCAAAATGATAAAAAGTTACTGTGAATTGCTAACACTTCTAGGGGTACAGAGCACAAACACTGCAAGTTATAATCCTAATGCTGCTGTTACTTATTTACAGGTCTGACAGACAGATGTTAATTAAGAATAAACTGTAACTCACCTCTGCCATGCTCTGCTTCTGATAGATTTCACAGAGTGTTCTGGTTATCTTGCCATCATTGGTATTTATTTCTGTAAAGTCAGGTTTATTCTATGTTCTTCTGTATGTATCTGTGGGGGGAGCTGCCCGGTGATATTTTCTTTATTAATGAAAGGCAAAGGAGGGAGATAAAGGAGACAAAATATGTCTGTAGGCAGAATGAAGAGAAAACAATTAATTCATTTTCCTGATGGGAAATATAGGAATTATATTTCAATGTTTGTAGTAAAGCTCAAGTAGGTTCAATAAATCCTGACTTAGATTGCAAAGTCTGACAGTCCTGGTTTAATGTATTTCAGTGGATGCAGGCACACAACTAATTGCATTTCCATGGAAAATCTAAAGTACTCCACAGAATGGGTTTATCTTCTTTGGAACACCTGGTCAAAAAACAAAAGTCTGTGGCTGCATTTGCAGATATAAACTCAGTGTCCCATTATCAATTTGCAAAATGCTGTTGTTCTCACTGAGGATAGCAAAATGACAAACTACACAGATCATAGTACAGGGAGGAACAGCAACATTTCCATTATACTGGAGTGAAAGGAAAGCAGAGTGCAAAATAAGTGAGTGGCAGAATAAAGTGAAAATCATAAACTAGTAAATCCCGAAGTTACTGTCTTTTAAGCAACACTGCAATTTCAAGTAAGTTTAGTGAAACAGGTCTGTGCATTCAACAAGGTTGTTTCAGCGCTGCTGATTTCTGTTACCTTGCAGAAGCAGCCTGATGCTCTGTCATCACTGGGTCCGGAGCAAGTTCCTAGGGACAGCCAGTATACAAGCCATAGCATTTACCCCACTTCTCCCACTTCATGCATTAAAATGAGTAACAGTTAATGATTGTAAATATCATTATCTTTTTTTTTTCCTCCGAACCTGAACGTTATTCTGATAACCTGCATGACTTTATTGCCAGCCTTCTCTTTCACAACTCTAAAGATAAGTGATCTCGACCCAAGCAGTCAGCTATTAAAATACAAGAATTGATTCTCACACAACCTATTCCCTTCTCCCCTCTAGCAGCACACACACCCCC